TCTATTCTTCAACTTATAACATATTCTTCAACTCACTTCCCTATAATAAAAATGCAACATATAAATATATCCCTTATATACCTAACAATAAATATACAATTATATTCCATATATAACTATATTAGCTCAATTAATCTATGTCTAAATTGTAATGATTAGAATGACTTCAATTTCAAGGATCCAAATGGGCTCTTCTTTTTCTTCCACAACGATGTGCTCGGTTTTTTTTGCGAGACCCAGTTACAGACGCAGACGCTCATATACACGAGCGCACACTCACCCTTATGAACGCACGCACACACACGCTATCCATATGAGGACCTCCGAAGAACTGAGTTGACCGGCAAATCTCGAGATTGACGAAGTTACCATAGATGCCTCGCTGCTGACGGGCACGTTGCCTACCACTAAAAGAATAGCGTCGTTAAATCCTAGAATAAATCTAGGAAAATGCGAGTACCCGTATGAAGTCGAGGATTTGAACCCGGATTGACAGATTCCACCAAAAGAAACCTAACTAGCTGTGCTATGATCATTTCGGCTGTTGTGCTCGGCTTGGGTGCGGAGTCATCTATGTCGATGTTGTTGTCACTTTCTTTTCTTTTTTCTTTTACTTTTTATTTTTCATGTCCGGTGCTTGGTGTGAACCAATTTTTATTCATGATTATTAGTGGACAAACTTATCATAACATTTTCTCAATATAAAATTTCTAACACAATTTTTGTGTAAAAAATTTATGAATAACATAATTTATACACATAAGTTATGCTATTTTGTTATGTTCACTTCACGTACTATACATTTAGTGTTCTATGATATATTTTAAAATATTCATATAGTTTCAAAACTCAAAAAAGTTATGGAAATATTTTTTCCAAAAAAGAAAAGTAAAAAAGTCATGAAGAAAAAATGTGGTTATAAGTTATAACATAAAAAGTTATGCGCATAAGTTATATGTATAACTTTGTAACTTTCCAAATAAAGAAAGTTGCGGAAATGATTTTTTTCCCGAAAAAGTAAAGTCACGGGAGCTGTGGGATTAATCGTTGGTTTTGAAACCAGCTGTCGTTCGCTAATTGGTGGGGTCGCACATGGACTCACCTGATCTTGACACGTGGTGGCTCCTAGTTAAGATAAAAAAAATGGTTGTTTATCTTTAAAAAATCATAAGGAATTCATATGGGCTCCGAAAATATGACTTTGTACCAAATTTTTTCCTAAACATGAGTTCTACACAGACAACCTGCTTGCTATCATGCACATGCTTTTTATATTCTGTTACTATGCCATGGATCATGTGATGTGGTGATTGTTGCATACTGTAGACTTGTTTGTATGTGGAGTAGGCACTTGATGCCGATGAGATATGGCTATACTGGTTGAGAGATTCCTAGCACACGTCTTGGTTGCTTTGTGAGAGCGTTTTGGTCAGGTAGGATAGTGTGACTAATTTTCAAAGATAGAGCACCGGGGAGGTGTGACTTGAGTGCCTTCCGAGGGTACCTATGGCGGTTCGATGACTACATGAGTTCGTGGGATGGAGCTCTATGTGGGCGGAGTCCCGGGTGTAAGGACCTAGAATGGATAGAGAAGAGTGAATAGCCTATAAGAATTTCCCCTTCAAAGATAAAGACACTAGGCAAGGATGATTAGTAAAATAAACAATCCTAATAGTCATTACTTTACCTAGACTATTTCACCACAAAACAAGTCTCGCCTACACAAGCCTAGTAGCAAGAGATACACTACTACTAAAGCACACAATCTACTAGAGGCAAAGTAGTACTAGTCGAGCTAAATAAGTTATACTACTTGAAGTACTCTACTCAACAAGAGAGCTACTACAACAACTACAACTGTACAAGAACAAGTAAACAAATGTAAATACACAAGTGTAGGGAGGAAAACTGTCGAGGGCAAGGGACACAATGATTTACCCTAAGGTTCAGTTTCTTGCCGGCAACCTATGTCCCCATGGCAAGTCTTAGGACTACCGCTCCTCCACAAGCCTAGCAAACCCTCAAGCTTGGCCCCGACATAGTTGCTTGTATATGAGTCGGCTAAGTCAACAAAGCACTCCAACTCGGGAATGTAGTTTCAAATGGAGAATGAACCTACAATGGGTGCTGAGTGCTGACAACTCTATTAAGCAGACATATAGTTCGATAAGGGATTTTGTTGCTAGCTTCAGTGGCACAGTTACAAGGGAAGACGTCATGTGTAGCAGGGGTTTTGACCATGATGAATTAGTCTGAGAAATAGATGACACAGATCGATCGAGCTAAATGGGTTTGAACTGAGCAATGGTGAAAATGCTTATTTTAAATACCAAGATGATGTACCTGACGAATCAAGTAAAGCCGGTACAATGGAAAGGGAATGTTGTAATGATAATATAGATTCTCATATTGACGGTTACATATCCCCATCCATACTTTGAGATTGTGGGTGTGTCAACAGGGAATAGCGGCGGAGATATCAGAAAGATATCAAGCACAAGGAGGTGTTACCTAGTACAAGAAAAGGTATAGTATTGCAGCCTGGAGAAGTGATTGCTTGTAGCAAATCAGGGAGTACGTTAAAACTACTTGTGTTTCAAAACAAAAAGGGCAGATGCATTATAGATTTTCTATCCAATTTAGTATTGGTAAGGCTAGCGCTCGGACGCCCGGCCCCAGGCCCATGTCCGGACGCAGCTCCTGCGCCCCCGTGCCCACATCGCATCCCATGCGCTCCATCCCGTTCCCAACCAGCGCCGGCATCCGGAACCGCAGCCCGCGCCCATGCCGCGCCCCGCACGGCGGAACGCGCCACCACGCGCATCCAGCGTTCGCACGGTGGAACCGCAACCCACGCCCACCTGCCCCGCCTGTGGATGCGCGTCGCGGAGGCGTCTGCAGGCCTCAGATGCCGGCTCGTGAACCACGGCGGCGCACCAGCAACAGCAGGCGGAGAACGGCCTGCAACACAGGATCTAATTTTGAAAACATCCAGATAAAACATTTGCAACATACGTATGAAAATAGACAAAACACTTGAACACATGCGTGTATAGCCATTCCAACATGTGCAACACCAGATAATCTTTTGAAACATACAGATAAAATATTTGAAACAAACGTTTGAAACACCTGAAACACTTGAAACATAGGCTTTGCAACATGCATATATTGCCATTGCAACATATGCAACATCCCAGATCGACTTTTGCAACATTTAGATGAAACACTTGAAACATAAGTCTCAAACGCCCAAAACATTTAAAACACGGCATGGCGCCGGGGTGGTGGTGGCATGGTGCTCGCCATGGCCGCGATGGGCGAGGTGGATTGGGGCGTGTCGGTGGATAGGGGCGAGGCGTGGGGTGGTGGCACTGGCAGGTGGAGTCCCAAATTTTGTACCTATTTTATATGTGCATGTAGATGTTGAAAGCTATATTAAGATTTAGAGTTGGCATGTTATTAGTTCGTGATTAAATAGCGTGTTATAAAAATGGGTTTTGAAATTTATGAGCAGGTAGAAAGGATTTATTTTGTAAAAAAACGAGATGAACAAAATGAATGAACCAGGTACAGACAGACGCGGACCTAGCACACAAGGAGCGAGAGCACAGGCCGCCACTCAAATTATGGGTTTGTAAAGAAAACATATATTTTTTTTTCTGTAGAGGTCCGCCCCTGGGTACGGATCCATGAACATGGGTAGAACATGAGTAATTTGAGAGGATCCCACAGTTATTCTGCCACTTCAGCATCGAGCGAGGACGAGGCAATAATGCGCAACTGATCGAGAGGCACAATGGGCGGTCAAAGGCCAAAATTTGCTGAGAGGCAAAAACGCACGGGATCTAAAAGCGAAATAGACGGTACGAGAAAAGGATGTTGTGTTGTGGATTTCTGCCGCGGCCAGGCTGCGCTTTCTGGTCCTTTGTACAACCAGTACTAGACTACTAGAGCAAGCTAGGCGAGACAGACGCTGGATGTACGAGAGAGAAGACAAGACAGTAAGCTATGTGTACATGCATGGCATGAGGCATGAGAGTGGGAAAGAGCCGAACGTCCATGTAGCTGCATGTACGGGATCGGAGCCGACGAGTCCTGCGCTGCGACTGCGAGCCTCACCATCTATCTCCTCGATCATGCACTGAGTGTGAGCCGCCCTGACCTGTTGAGGACAGTCAACAGTGAGAGAAAACGGTTAGGCGGTTAGGCCACGCCACCGCGGTCACCCCGATCGAACCTACGTACGCCTCGTGAAGAGATGCATGGCCCAAACTACTCCAACTACTGCCTGGCAGTGGCAGCCGGCGGCGCGTTATATATACTCCGATCCGTGGCCAACCTTAGCCGCCTATCCAATCCCATCTCCTCTCGCGCTACGACTATACATACTAGCTAGACATCTGAGCAACATTAGCCAACATTAGCCTATCCGATCCCATCTCCTCTCCTCTCGCGCTACTACTAGACATCTGATCGAGCAACACGGCCGATGCTCCTTTTCTCCTCTTCCTCTTCCTTCGAAGGCAGATGTCAATCGCCCTAGCGGCCAGGCCTTAGTCCTGTTCACGGGGACGGTGATCTCATCACCAAAGACCAAACTGTGTCCTACAAGATGATCACATACATATATCGTCTACCACCATCTTTTTTAGTGAAAAGTCTACCATCATCTAGCCTATTCTATACTCTCTCTCTATATATATTAGGATTAAGTCCACTTTTGCCCCCTCAACTATGATGTTGGTCTAATTTTGACCCATAACTACAAAACCGTCTGGTTCAGGAACCTCAAGTTTAAAAACCGTTCACTCTTGGCACCTAGACACGGTTGTGGCTGTTTCATGCTGACGTGTACCTGGTTTTGACCCGGCACGCTGGCATTGACCGCCACGTAGGCGCACACGTGAGGGATAAAACCCGTGTATAAAACCCGGCGCCGGCCGGCGTCCCCTACCCACCCCGGGCCCCGCCTCCCGCTCCGACCTCCACCCCGAGCCATGGCCAGCCACCTCCCAGACGCCGACGCCACGGGGTTCAAGCTCTTCGGCAAGGCGACGGTCAGCCACCTCCGCCGCCTCCGACGACGGCGACGGTCCTTCCTCCTCCTCCTCCCCCGCCTCCGTCCCCGACGCAGCCGCCTGCCGCTGCGCGCATGCCACTGTAGGGGTGGAGAGCGACGAGGAGATACGGCGGGTGCCGGAGATGGGCGGCGCGTCGGCGTCGGCCTCATCGGGCGCGGGTGCGGAAGAGCGCCCCAAGGAGGACGGCAAGCAGGGGGGCAGCTGGTGGCGGCCGGGAAGAAGCGCGGACGCACCGCGGGGGACAAGGAGTAGAACCGGCTGAAGCGCCTGCTTCGGAACCGCGTGTCCGCGCAGCAGGCGCGGGAGCGGAAGAAGGCGTACCTGACGGAGCAGGAGGCCAAGGCCAAGGGCCTGGAGCTCCGTAATGCCGAGCTCGAGCAGCGGGTGTCCACGCTCCAGAACGAGAACAACACTCTCCGCCAGGTGCTGCCTCGCCTACCTCCGTCCATCCCCCCATTCGTTTCCGCGGTTCGATCTGAGCTCCGAAGCGTTCCTCTCGTTCTGAGTGACCGACCCCCTGGTGCTCCTGCCGCGTAGATTCTGAAGAACACGACGGCGCACGCGAGCAAGAGGAGCAGTGGCAGCGGCGGTGGCGGTGGCGGCAAGGGCGGAGACGGCGGCAAGAAGCACCACTTCACCAAGAGCTGATGAGAATGGGAGAGGGACCTGGTCTGTGCTCGCGCTCGCCTGATCTGACCATTGCTGGACGGCCGCCGTCACGTGAGTCGCCGCTGTCGTGCCTCCACGGCCACGATAGTCGTGCCTCCGCGCCCCGCAGGCTGCGGATCCGCGCCGGTCGTGCCTTCACGCCCGAGATGGTCGCGCCTCCGCCCAGCTGCGCTCGTCGTTGGCCCATCGCCTCACCAGCGAGCAGAGGCCTCCGCGCCGCGCAGGCTGCGGATCCGCTCCGATCGTGCCTCCGCGCCCACGCCGGTCGCGCCTCCGCCCAGTCGTGCTCGTCGTTGGCCCATCGCCTCACCGGCGACTAGCGGCCTCCGCACCGCAAAGACTGCGGATCCGCACCGGTCGTGCGTCTACGCCCGAGATGGTCGTGGAGGGCCGCCGCGGCCCACGGCGTGGCCAGCAAGCCACCGGTACCCCATTGCTATGTAAAAACACATGTTTATAGCATGTGAGTCGATGACGCGTGGGCCCCACATGTCACTGAGATGGAGGTTGCGTGTCAAAACCACTCAACGTCGGTCGGTCAAAACATCCCTGCCCCCGTCCAGGTGCTAACGGTTTTGATAGTTGGAGTATCGGTACTAGACGGTTTTGTAGTTGAGGGTTAAAATTAGACCGACACAATAGTTGAGGTGCCAAAAGTGGACTTAATCCTATATATTACGTACATCAAACAAAGCTCTTTCTTTTGCGGTTGAAAGTAGAATAAACAAAGACTAGAATGATTGAGCGATGCTGATAGTAATTGTTAGTGAAAAGTCTACCATCATCTAGCCTATTCTATACTCTTTATATGTATATTACGTACATCAAACAAAGCTTTCCTTCTACAGTTGAAAGTAGAATAAAGAAAGACTAGGATGAGCGATGCTGATGGTATGGTGTGTTGTAACCACTTGAAGACGAAGGCAAGTGGCGCGACTACAATTGCGGCGATGATGCTCCGATAGAAAATGAGTACCATGGGGCACATGCCGGCAGCAACGATGCTACGATAAACAATAAAGGACCATGGGGCTCATGCCGATCGATCGATCTCTATCACTGTTACCTATATTGTATCCTCTCTATATTTTGTTTCTTTAAGAAAATATCGATCTCGCTGCCTCTCTATCTTCTCTCCTTGATGTATGTAGTGTTATATATTATGTATGTTTCTCCTGCTGTTTGGCACCACAACAACAGAAAAACAAAATCCCACAATGCAATAATCTCGCCCGAAATTTGTATGTCTGGAAAGGTTTATGGTTTCGATGGTTCCAAAAAATTGTATGTTTGGGAAGGCTTATGGTTCCAATGAATGCTGGCGCAACAACAGCACCGGCTGGCTAACCGTTGTTTGAGGCCATAATGGCTCTATCACCCAAAAAAAATTATGATCAACCTTTGGATGGTTTATATGCACACAAAAAAAGACACCTTATCTCGGCCACATTGTTTTGGCAACTCCGATCCATATAAAAAAAACTCGACCTACGAGGGGCAAGCCGCCCCCGGGCATTATACGTAAGAAGAAGACCTTCTCACATAAACCGAGAAAACCCCCGAACCCCAGCCCCGGCCCGACACTGGGAGACGTAACCCGTGAGATGGGCCGTCTCCTTTAAACTAGTGCTTTGGCACCCAGGACCGGCGAGGAGATTTTTTTAACCCCCGGCCTAAAATTCACTTCCACTAGAAGTCGAACTCAGGACATGAAGGGTGTCACCAGAGTGACTAGCATATCTCAGCTGGACTAGCCATCCTTTGGCACTCCGATCCATATAAAACCGCAAGGCCACACTATTTAACTCCTATACAATATAAACCTCAAGGCCTCATAGATCCGATCCATAGAATATTTTATTTGGCAACTCCGATCCTCACAGTGCATTAGTAGTAATGCATTTCAGCGGCTTCCATGTGTGCGCCGCATTCTTCTTTGCGCCGTAGAGGATATCGCGGCTCGGCACACGGCACCGCATCACTTGAGGACTTGTTTGGCATATGTATTCATCTCAATTCACATGTGTTAAAGTAGATTAGAGTGGAATTAAACTAAGTTTCATTATATTCCACTCAAACATATGTGGATTGAAGTGAATACACGTGCATCAAACAAGCCCGGGGTGTCCACGCCAGAACTGGAACCCGGCCGGCACACACATGCACATCGGTTGGTCGCTCACGCGGAGCATCTTTTCGGGGAGAACATGGATAGTGTGAAGGTCAGCAGGGACAGTCACAAGCTTTAGACTGACTCTAATGCGCGCTGGGAACAACGGAAGAAACGGACGGAGTGGCAGCAGGCATCGTAGAGAAGAGCGGCATGCATCATAGAATCCTGGCGATGTATGGGGACGTTTTTGTGCTACCTGCATTGGGGCCGCGTACTCTGCGATTTTAATTCCTGAACCTGAGCCCCGTTGCATGCCGTTGTTACATTTACCAATTACCATTGCCACCGTATTCCTGGCGACCTCTGTATAGGAGTATAGCAGCCCGGCCAAGTACACGCAACGCAGCTATCCTGGCGACGGGATGGCTCTCTTTTGATCGGGCATGAGAGAGAAAGAACCGCATGTCTAACTGCATGCACGGAAGGCGACAAGCAAGTGCAAGTGAGCCTCCTCATGCACTCTGCATGGGAGCTGCTGCTTTGTTCATGAAATCATGATGGAGACATATAAATACATATACCCGAATTACGCACCGTGTTAGTGGCCATACAAGCCAACTACCACCGGCAGCCGGAGGCTATATATACACCGTAGAGCCAAACCTTATTAGCTTATCTCATTCTTCGTCTCACACTATTAGACATAAGACATCAAAACCAGGGGTGGAACCACGAAGTTAATATTTTGAATGTTAGGAGGGGGGGGCAGCAGTATTAAATTAAATCTTTAAAAAATGTTTGAATTTGGAAGAATTCAGTGGAGATTTCACATTCATAGGGGGGCTTAGGCCCCTGCTAGGCCCCCTTGTCTCCGCCCCTGATCTAAGCAATGTGATGCTCCTTTGAAGCTAGATGGCAACGGCCGTCCACAAGATTCGTCATGCGCAGCGCCCTAGCAGCCCAGTGTCACCGGTCGTGTTAATCTTGACATATATGGCATACTGTTCTTCCATTATATATATATGAAATACCTTTTTATTTCTCTATGAGACAGCAACCACCCCACCTAACTGTGTACGTCCTACAACATGAATATGTCCACTGCTACCTCCGCCATGTCACACACAGTGTGATGACCTCGTGGGACTATGTGGCATAAGGGCATTATGTCTCTTTTATTATATAACCATTTCATTGTTGGTTACATCATGTTGCTCAAGTGTGTTGTTAATGTGGACTGCATTATTATTAGAACTTTTTTACAATGGTTAGTGAGACGTCAGGAAGCGTCAGATGTGTCTGTGATTGGTGGGTCCATATGAGTGAAGGCGTTGAGAGACGTCAATAAGAGAGGTGTCGGGGGGCGTTAGATGTGTCTATGGTCGGTGCGCCCATATGTGCCGTAACGGATCCCAATGCCTGAGGATCAGGACTTCAAATAAAAGAGTGGCAATACATTTTTCGTAGTTATTTTTTTAATCAAGGGTAAAATGGTAAATCCATAATTATAAAAATAATGTTTTGAGTAGTATAGTTGGGATGTATGATTTAAGTACTATAGTTAGATGGATATTTGCTTTTTAAAAAAAAAGATGAATATTTTCGTCTTGTTAGGGTTCATTCGCCGCCGTCTCTGTATTCTCCGTCTCCGTGTCGCCATCGTCCACCACCGTTGATCTGTCCACGGGAGGACCTCGACGCGCTGCGCCGCTCCTGCATCATCTCCGTCGAGATCTGGGCCCGACCCCTTCTCACGAGCCCGCAGCTCCCCAACCGAGCACATGGAGGCCGCGGCGGCGACTGTGCTCCCGGTCGCGGTGGCGGCGGCCATCCCTGCTGCCCGGGGGGTGCGGGTGGTGAGGTGCGCGCGTCCACGGACGCTGCGGTCCGCGGTGGCGAAGCTGGAGGGCGGGCTCGGTGTAGCAGAACCGCCCGAAATAACACGCTTTCGGAGGCGCTCGTCTTCCATTAGACACTAAGCACCTCGAAAGTGAGCTACATTGGACAATTCCGTCGAGCACACCCCAACGAAGAACTCGAAACCATCCACGTTTTACATCCAGAATCCAATAATAAGTACGAGCTTATAATACTTAGTCTATTTCATACAACAAGAGTTCTTGAAAATTATTTATTACAATATTAGAGTTCGGAGTACGATAATTAAACAACGGAATGAAAATAAACATCTAGCGGAAATGATACAAGGATCCGTTTGTGCCCACCAGAAGAATCCTCTACACAAGAGCTACTTCTCAAGCTGCACCTGCAACAGGGGTAAAATAAACCCTGAGTACACAATGTACTCGCAAGACTTACCCGACTAGTAGGAATAGTTTCCCGACTCTCAAGGATATGATAGGCAATATGTATTTGTTGTTTTCTTTTTGTTTGTGAAAAGCATTATTAATAGTTCATCCTTACAGTCAAGTTTTATTAGCAGTCACGATTACTTCATTAGCTAACTATTCTAGGTAAGCACATGTTCTACTTTCAAGCAAGGGTTGAGCCATCAGAACCATTTCACCATCTTTCATCTTTTAGTTCTTACTGTGGTGCTAGACCATAGCCAAGTCATACCGTCTCACGGAAACGGCGATTCGTGAACCAATGTATCCCAGCTGGGTACGCCGAAACAACCGCCCCGATTGTACCCCAGGCACAAACAAGACCAACCCATTTCACTCCTGTCACGGGGTCTAGGTCCCGTCCAAACTTGAACTCCAAGCCCTCACACTTGAGACCCGGTCTCAGTATGGTGCTTAGACCTCCATCTTTTCCCGTCTCCAATCAGTCGGTCCGGAAAGAGCCGAAACCCACGACAAGAGCGTAACGAGCCTTCCCACTCCCATAAGGAAGTATGTGC